AATGATAATAAGTAAATTGATAATCTCAAAGCTATGCGCGTATATGTGATATGTGGTAAATTATGGTCGCGTTCCTCAGTCTCGCAATTTTTTTTTCTACAATATTGACTGCAACATAGGCGTAATACAAGATATACAAATCACAGAATTACTGATTATTACAATTGGTATACCTTTCGGAAGCTATTCATATATTATATTATATAAAGCACTCTCCAGTATAAGGGTCACAGAAGTTGTATTAAACGTTTCGTGTGATTCGCCAATTTATAAGTGCATCTCATGCATTGAAATCATTTGCCAATCAGCGCATATACATATATTATTATGTATTACAGAACTAATCACTAATCAGTTTCTATGACTCCAAAAATACATTCCCGTCAGATTTTTCACAAGGAAAAGCGTCATATATTATGGGTCTGTTATAGAAATACGCACTATACGCGTTCCATATGGTACATTTTTTTCGTRTTATCACGATGATGGATATAGGTATATAATATTGTATGTGTTTCAAATAATTATTATTATTTTAACGCWGCAGAACATAAAATGTCTTTATAAAAATACAGACAACTCTCGCGGTTTAGTCAGAAATATTCTTTAAAACGTCATAACACTTAACTGGTTTTTGATATATCGACATTTTTATCAACTCGAATATTTGTTTGTTTCCTTCTTAAATTTTGACTTTCCGAGAGTCGACTGTATGTTGCATACCGTTTTTATCTGATATACCAGCCAGCAGTGGCGAAAACGAGGTTATCTTCGGGGATGGGCGTGGGCTACTAAACAACTCTCAAACCCCTATGGTTTGGCCATTGGCCATTGACCAGCCGTACCTATATGAGTTGTTAAGTTGTTATCACGACGAGTATAAGGCGTGATTATTATTTTGTGCGGAAAAAACCTCACCCACTTGTTGATTTGTGATTTAAGCATAATATATTCAAAAGATAATAAAAAAGAATGCAGAAATTTTTTTGTACATATATTATAATGTTTATATAGCTCGTATGCATAATAATATAATTATTTGAATTTATGTATTTAAATTTCAGATGCGGTAAACGTGTGCAGGCACGGATATAGTATATATAGGCACTTGTGTAATATATAATATAATAATAATAATGGCGCGCAAATAAATAATATGACAGCATAAAACAATTACGAACATATAAAATAATGACTTTATAACTCTCACAATTTTTACTATTATCGTATATTATATTATAGTAAATAATACGTAGCTGCTAAACAATTTAAAACAATATAATATATTAACGCCTAACAGTAT